AGTCCTTGGTCAGTAGGAAGTTAAATACAATTGCTTTGCCATGTCTATTAGCTGTTGACTGACTTTAGGCCCTGAAAAGCATAGCATGGGCTGTGGTGGCTCACTCATTAATTAGCATGAAATTCTGGTTAATTGATACTCTATTTCCAAAGATCTCTCTCTCTCTGCCTTTTTAAAATTACCTCTTTCAAGGTGATTTGCAAAGTGGAATTAGATAATAGAAATGTGGCAAGACAATGTGTATACTTTTACAGGTGCATGAAATTGTCAAAGTGTTAGAAAGTATTGAGCTAGTATAGTCTGCCAGAGTATCTTTTGTTCATGCTAACTTCCAGTCATACAGAATCCAACAAAAGATAACTATTTAAATCAAGAATGGTACATCTGTTTAATGGAATACTATGTAATTACTTAAAACTATATCACAGAAAAATAGTTAATGGCATGGAAAGTTATTCATAATAAGTGGGGGAAAGGGAGTTAACAGTATATATGGTACAATTTGTGCAGTATCCTTTTTTTTTTAAACAAAAGGTGCATACATACGTACAAGTATACAAGAAAAAGAGATGCCAAAACATGCACAAAATTTTAAAAATGACTAGTCTGGGTAGAGAAATTATGAGTAAGTTTTTCCTTTGCATGTGTTTGTTTTTCTGTGTGTTTTCCCGTATTTTCTGCATTTAACGTGTTGCTTTGGTAATTGGAGCTAAAACCAATAACATTTCCCTTTTCTTTTCTTTTTTTTTTCAATTATCAAATCAGTTGTATTGCAAACACCTCCTTTTTAAAATAATTGTGTTACAGCTTGACTGACTAGCTTTTTAGAACTTGTACTGTGTCTGCATGTGTGGAGTCATCACAAGTTCAGTGACTCATTCTCAACTTTCAAGTTTAGAAGCACAATTTGATTAGTTCACTAAAGACTGATCACATAGAAGGAAAATGTTCTAATGTTTTATAGCACAGTAGAGTGACTATAGTTAACAGTTATCTATTGTATTTTTCAAAATAGCCCAAAGAAATAGATCCTTTTCTTGGACCCATCACATAGACATTATAAATAACCTAACTTAATCATTACATATCCTATGCATGAAACAAAATTTCACACGTATGCCGTTAATATGTACAAACATATTCAAAAAAATGATTTTTAAAAAGCTGAGAGGGAAAGAACAAATTTTAAAAAGCTGTGGGGAAAGAACAAATTAAACTTTAACAGAAAGTTAATTACAAAGGTAAGTAGAAATTATGGAATCAAAAGCTAACAATAGCAAAAATCAATAAGTTGTTTCTTTAAAAAGATTAATAAAACATACATAACCCCTACTAGATTAATAAAGAAATGAGAGGAAGAAAGGAACAATTTACCAGGACCAGGTGTGAAAGAGGATGCATCACTACAGATGCTGCAGACATTAATGGATATTAACATATAACTTCATGCAATAAATTTGACAACTTAGATGAAATGGACAAATTACTTGAAAAGCACAACCTATTAAAACTGACTCAAGAAGACATAGAAAATCCGAAATTATTTAACCGTGCTCTTCACAGAGCTACTTCTCCCTATAGCTCTAGACTTCATGCAATTTCTCCAGAGGCTGCAAGTCTTAAAATGTGGGGTTCCTTGGCTCCTTGCCCCTCTCCTGGGGGATCCAGGAAGTACATGTTGCTACTGATTGCCAAAAAAAGGGAGGGAAGAAAAAGGGCTGATCATGGTACAAAAATGATGACTGCCCTCAACTCCCACCACTAATGTCTGCACTGATTTGTTCATCAGGCTAGATTCCCCTAAAAGTAATTAATTCATCAAACAACCTGACTTTTCTAAAGCTCTTGAAGCAGAGCCTTCACTTTTCAAAAAATTCATGCTAGCAATGCAGAGAAGGACAGTATTATACCCTCCTGAGCACTGAATTTTTTCATTATTGCCCTCCATTTGAACAGCTAAAAAAATTATTCTTTATTTTTGTTGCGATCTCACCAATAAATGTAGCCGTTTTTCCTTGTTTGAACTAGTACCCCGGGTTCTTTGTCTTGACATCCAAGAAAATTAAGGACACAAAGGTGGGGTTGAAGCAAAAGTTTAATAAGTGAAAAAGAAAAAAGCTCTCTGCAGTGGAGAGGGGAGTTGGAGTGGACTGCCAGGTTGTAGTAAAAACGTCAGGGTTTTCATAAACTAGTGAGGAGTGGGTGTCTTATCTTCCTAGGGCCTGAAGATTTATTTTTTAGGATCAGGTGTGCTATCGCATAGCGCAGAGTTTCTATCAGCTGTTACATAAGCAGACTTTTAGTTTGTGTTGCTCTGTGCTGCTTTGTGTCGCTTAAGTTTGTGTCTGTTTCCAGACATTTTCTTGCAGCTGCAGGCATCCTCTGAACCTCCCTGCATACTTTAGCTTCCCTATCTTAGTGTGCCTAAAAAGAAAGGAATGTACTTATTAAGACCCACTGTTTTTACTGGGTCTCATTGTATGAGTATGAAGTCTCCGGGGTGATTGCCCCAGGGACTCCCTCACTCCTCCGTACTTATTTGTGCTTAAAGCTGTCTTTTTATCTGCCCAGGTGCAGCCTGAGGTTTTCCCAAGGTCGTTTTATTTTTTTGCCTGTTACTGTGACTTTTCAGGCAGGCTACTTCTGCAGTCTGAATCTTTCCACTGATTTTTCCTTTCCTTCTCCCTCATTTTCATTTGCATTAAAGAAAATTTCAGTAACTATAATAAAGTTCACATGCTTTTTACTTTATTTTCTCTGGTTATAACTTTTAGAAAGAGCAGAGTTCTTGTGTGAGAAGAAGCAGGGACCTGGGAAAGGAGGTCTGGTTGAGGAGTCAGGAATCAGGGTTCTACTGTAATAGCTTTCTAAGTGTCCTTCCACTTCCACATTTGATCCCTTCCTAACCATTTTCCACATAGTAACCAGAATGCATTTTTTTTAAAAAACTTTAAGGGCAGGCACTTTGGCTCATGCCTGTAATCCCAGCACTTTGGGAGGCCGAGGTGGGTCGATCAGCTGAGGTCAGGAGTTCCAGACCAGCCTGGCCAAAATGGTGAAACACTGTCCCCACTTAAATACAACAATTAGCTGGGCATGGTGTCGAGTGCCTGCAATCCCAGCTACTTGGGAGGCTGAGGCAGGAGAATTGCTTGAACTGGGGAGGCGGAGGTTGCAGTGAGCCGAGATGGCACCACTGCACTCTAGCCTGGGTGACTGAGGGAGACTCTGTCTCAAAAGATTAAAATAATCTTAAAAAATAAAAGCTTTAATTAGATCATGGCCCCCTCCTTAAAACTATGCAATGACTTCCCATTGCTTTAAAAATAAAATTCAGACTTTTTCACGATGGACAAGGTTCTGCCATGCAACCTTTGTTCACTGCTCTGCAGCCACATTGAGCTTCCCACCTCAGAGCTTTTGTCCTCACTGGAATATTCCAGCAAAATTCTTTTGCCTAGGATGCTCTTTTCTCAGATCTCACACAGCTGCTTCTTGTCCTTCAAGCAGAAACATCACCACCTCTGACAGGCCTTCCGTGCCTCCCACCCATCAGGTTCATTTTGTTTTCTTCCTAGCACCTATCACAGTCTTAAATTATCCTGGTCATTTGTTCTGTCGACCTTAAATGGTGGAATTCAGAACGTCATTAAGTATAGCATTTATTCTAATGAAAAGCTTGAGGACAGCCAGCTGGAAACACTGCTGCCAAACAAATAGGGTCAATGTTTCAAGGTGAAGTTAAGGTTTCATTTACATAGGCAGAGACAAAGAAGGTTCAGCAGGAGTACATTTTCCATACAAGACTAGTGCATAAATTACAAAGATCAGTTATATATAGGTACATTCCAAGGAAGATAATTAATTTATGAAGAGGGGGTCTTATCTGTGTCTCTGGTCTTCCTAATTATTTACAGGAAAAAAACAAGCAGTTGCAGCTGTATGTCATGGGACACAGGCCCCATAGCCGCATTCTACGCAAGGCTCAGAATAATTTAAAGTTCTAACAGCTTTAAGTTTGAATTATTTAATTTCACAGTTCACTTGTTGATTGTTGATTCACTCGTTCTTTTCCTCTCTCTCCCACTAGAAATGAAGCTCCCAGGGATGCAACCTTGGCAGGCTCCTAAACTGCCAGGGCTCCAGTTTCTAGCAGATGAGACATTCCTTGCTAGTTGAATGAAGATGTATGCGGGCCTCCGAACGCCTCCTCTTTAATGAGGGCGCTCACTAGATGAAGATGAGATGAATGTGAGCAAACGGAAGCAGAACCACCCTCCTAATGAAGGTAGCGCATTCTAGCTCAGGGATTTCTAGAAACCTCGGGGGCGGAAGTTTAACCAGAGAATGGGGAGGCAGGGGTAAGAGAAGCCACGAGGGTGATCTGTGCAGTGTCGTCTTTCCACGAGTTTGAGAACGCCTGGCACCATGTCTTAACGAAGCCTCGGGCACAGAGCCATTTGGGAGGGTTTCTTTTTCGGGTTTTTGAGAAGGGGACCTGATTGGAAGCAACGGGGAAGTCGAAGGGCCAAGGACAGGCATGCCCGGGAGCTCTCCGGCGGAACCCTGGAAGGGGTGGGGGCAAGCAGAGCCTGACTTCGCCCCCGCCTTGGCGGCACTGGGCGCCTCAGGGGCCACCCTCAGCAGCCCCCCGCCGCCACCTCCCACCACACATGACGGAGGTTCGGGAAGCAAAAAAGTGGCTTTCAAAATACTAAATGCTATTGACTTCTTTTCCTGAGTTAAAAAAAAAAACCAAAAAAAAAAAAACCAAAACTGAAAAAAATGCCGAAATGTACATACTAGCACTCCTGTTGCCACATCCCCCAGGCCTCCCTCTAGTCCCGCCAGGGTCTCCGCCCTCCCTCTGGGCCTCGGCTTGAGTCCCAGTGCACTGGGGGAAGTGTTGCCGGCGGGCCTGCTGACGCCGCCGGACCTGAACTGCGCAGGCGCGGCGCGGCGCGGCGCGGCGCGGCTCGGGATCGCGGGCGCGAGCGCGCGGGAGCAGTTCGCGGCAGTTAGCGCGGGAGCCGGGCGCTGGGGCGCTTGGGCGCCTGGGCTGCAGGACGGGGGGAACGGAAGCCGCTGCGGGGCGCAGAGGAAGCCAGAATGGCGACTCCGAGCAGAAAGACGTCCGCCGCAAGCCCCCAGGCTTCTAAGAGAGCTCTCCCAAGAGACCCTTCGTCAGAGGTCCCGAGCAAGAGGAAGAATTCGGCTCCGCAGTTGCCGCTGCTGCAGTCGTCCAGGCCCTTCGTGGAAGGCTCTATCGTCCGCATCTCGATGGAGAACTTCCTGTGAGTGGCCTCGAGGCCCCGCCGGGGCTGTGGAGGCGTGGGGGCCCGCAGGCGCGGGGGTGCTGCGCGGGGCGGTGGGTGTGTGTGTGTGTGTGTGTACCTGGCTTGTGGGTCTGGCTGTGAATTCGTGCCGGGGTTTCCTTAAGGATTTTTCTATGTAGGCTGTGGAGATTGACGTGTATGGTGTCGGATACGTGTGCCTTGTGTGATGTGGTTTTTAAATGTAGTCTGCTAACGTTTCCAAAGGCGTCATGCAGCAGGTAGTGGTTGCACTAGGGAGTACAACCACTTCCTAGTACTCGCGGTCCATAGGGTCACTGGTCCGTAATTCACAAAAGTATTGGTCCCTGGAGCCTCAGAGGAGGCACAGTTAGGCACAGTTATTTCGGAGTAATGGGGATGCTGTGGCAGATTCTCAGAGTAGGCATTTGCTAGAAAGGAGTAGATAAGACGGTAAAGGTTGTTCAGGATGGGAGGTTAGAGTGTACAAAAAAATTAAACCTTAGTGGCAATTGTTGGACCTTGCTACAAACAAACGCTTGACCCCTCTAAATCCAGCTTTCTTCGCTGGTTCCTCCCTATCCCCTTCAGAAAACTAGTTAAAACTTTAGAATTTAGTATTTAAAATATATCATGTATTTGTCTAGCACCTCACAGTTCATTTGTTCAAGGTCGTCTTGTTTTTGTTTGTTTTTGAGACGGAGTGTCGCTCTATCCCCCAGGTTGGATTGCAGTGGCGCTGTCTCGGCTCACTGCAACTTCGCCTTCCGATTTCAAGTGATTCTCCTGCCTCAGCCTCCCGAGTAGCTGGGACTACAAGCGCGCGCCACCACGCCAGGCTAATTTTTTTGTTTTTAGTAGACACGGGCTTTCACCATGTTGGCCAGGCAGGTCTGGAACTCCTGACCTCAGGTGATCTGCCCGCCTCGGCCTCCCAAAAGCATGAGCCAACACGTCCGGCTGAAAGTCTTTTTTAAGCTTGCACATACTGGAATAAAGATAACAGAATTGAAATAACAATACTACTTGTTTTCAAGAGCTTGTTTTGTGCCAGGTACAGAACTAGGTGCTTTATTTACACAATGTACTCATTCTTTCTTCGTAACAATTCCATCTTGATAATGTCCGTTGCCGAAAGAAGCTCAATAGGTTATTTTTCCCAGTCTTATAACAACATATGTATCAGGATCCTTCACAGAGGATGAACTGGTTAATTTTGTCCATAAGTATGAGAAAGGGCTTTGTAAAGAAGATATGAAAGTCTCTGGTCTTGCCCTGTTGCCCATGCTGGAGTGCAGTGGCATGATCAGGGCTCAGTGCAGCCTGGGACCTCCCCTTCTCAAGTAATTCTCCTACCCTCAGCCTTTCAAGTAGCTGGGGAGTACAGGCGCATACCACACCTGGCTAATGTTTTTAAAAATTTTTTGTAGAGATAAGGTTTCACATGTTGCTCGGGCTTTTCTCGAACTTCTGGGCTCGAGCATCTCACCTCGGCTTCCCAAAGTGCTGGGATTACAGGCATGAGCCACTGCACCCGCCTAAGAAGATAGGAAAGTCTTAAAAGAAGTGAAGAGTATTGAAGACAGAAGGAACTGTCTGAAATAGTTTGGTATATTTAGAAAGTGTCAGGTATTTTAGTATGGCAAGAATATAGGATGTGAGTGAATATGTGGACAGAGGGTAGGCAACCATTGAGGAGCCTGTACCTTTACTATGCTAAGAAGTTCCAGCATCATCCTGTAGGCAGCCATGGTGTGTTTTCAACAGGAATGACATGTGTTTTGTGTTAATATGGAAGCACAGTGAAGGATGTTTAGAAAGTGTGCAAGATTGGAGGCAAGAAGACTTACAATATGAAGGCAAGAGATGATCAGAGCGTGAAGGAATGAGATTTGACAGGATTCAGCTACAGAATAATTGTGAGGCAGAGAAAGGAAGGAATGCAGTGTTTTTCCCAAGTCTCTGCCTTAGCTAATTGGTCAGCTGCTATTCAGAAGAGGGAGTAGTTTGAGGAGAATAATAATAAATGCCTGTTAGATACCGTGGCTTTTGGGCACAAAGAGAGATGTTCTATAGGCAGTTTCCTTTGGGGCATCTAAGAGTGATGTTCTATAGGTAGAATGTGAGAGTTTGGAGATTATAGGAAAATGTGAACAGATGAGAGATTTGGAAGTCATGCAGACCGGTGATTGATGAAGTTGCAGAACTGATTATGATTGCCCATTAGGAATTGTAAATTGAAGGACTAGAAGACCATATATAGAGTCTTGGGAGAATGCCTACTTTTAAGGGGGAGCTGAAGAAGAACTCAAAGTCAGAAGGAACTATTCAGGGAAGTAAGATGAAAACATTGGGAGATAATTATCAAAGAAGCCAAGGAAAAAAATGTTTCAAAAATATCACCTGGTACATTGAAGTCAGATAATGGAACAGAAAAGAGCCCATTGCATTTAGCAATTGGGAAATCTTTGACCCTTTAATGAAGCGCAGTGGAAGCAGAAAATTTTGCAGGTCATATATGAAGAATGAACGAGGGTGAGAAAGTAAAACTTGGTTGCAAAGAGAAGAAAGAAAAGGTAGCTGGAAGTGTAGATGCTGGTGAGATACTGTTTATTTTAATGAGCGGACTTGGAGTTTTAGGCGTGAGGTAGAAAAAGGTAGGTTTAGAGAATTAGCAAGGAAATAGGGAGGGGTAATCAAAGAATTTAAATAGCCTGGAAAAGAGTAGTGACTGAACCAAGTCAAATGGAGTTGGGCATGAAGGAAGAGACTTGGGGGCTGAAGGAATAACACATGCAAAGGCTTAAGAGAAAGAAGGATTTGTAGTCAAAAAATTGAAAGAAGTACATTAGAGGTAGAATTTAGAGGTCTGAGGACAGAATAGGGAAAGGAGATACAAAGTAGAAAAAGATGAAACTTGACTGTGATGGGTTCTCCTTTTTCCTTAATTTTTCTTTTTTGACAAGTGACATCAGATTTGCAATTCTACCAACATTACATAGTGACTGGATGATGGAGTGGTGGTTTGGGTAGAGTCAAAAGAGATGAAAGAACTAAAAATGATGCAAAACTAATGCCTAGGTTTCTGATTTGGGCAATGGAATGAATGACAATACTGTTCACTAAGAGACCACAAGAGTGGTTTTGGATGGGAAAGATGGTGGGTACCTAGTTTTAAATGTGTTAAATTTAAAGTGACTCTTGTGAGACATCCAAATAGCGTTATTGAGGTGATTATTGCTTATTGAGGTCATCTGGACTGACTTTTAGCATGTAGATCGTATGCAAAGACTTGAAGAAAGAAGAAATCATTGAGGCCATAGAGAATACATGAGATACCTTGTAAAGTATATAGAATGATAAAAGGGTGAGTCTTTACCAATTAGCTCTTTGAGAGGGAGCTCAGAGGAAAGGAAACTCACAATAAGGGAATTCCCAATAAATACATCATAGAGTCAGAAGAGTGATTTTAAACAGTGCAGAGTCTTGATTTGGGTAAAGGCAAGAAAAAAATTTTTTAAAATGCAGAGGCTTTGTTTTTGGCAACTCTCCCTATTTATAATATCGAGGTGTATTTTATAGGCCAGAAACTATCATGCTTTTTCCTGTTACTGTTTTCTTAAATACCAGTTGCATCATTGTTTTAATATAACATTCACACAGAGATTTCACAACAAGAAATCCAAGTGTTAAAAGAGTGGGGCTTCATGTGTTGAGAGTAAGAAGTTCCATGTCAGGTAATTTCCTACATGTCTGAAGTTCCCAGGCTAGTTTTACTGTAACCATTATAAAGGGTTCTTTTGAGACCCAGCTGCTAGCAGAACAAAACATCTAAGAAGATAAAAGTAGTAGATGCTGTATAGAGGTGTGAGATTAGCAAACCTGCCAGAAAATGCTTCTTTGCCACCTGTAGTTATTTTTATTACCACCTGACATTTCAAAATCATTAATTTCTTAAAATATTAACATGTGGTTGGTTGTTTATATACTTAGCAGGTAAATAGCAGACTAAGCATTTATTGGTAAGGAATTAGTTGGCAGCTGCCTGAGAGCTAACTGAAATGCTATAGGCAAAGGACATTATTTTGGGGTTCAAATTCAGAGTATTCAAAGGCAAGTTAGAGGAACGTCTGAGTGAGAGTTTGCTTCATATTTTGTCATAACTGTCCCTAGCAACTAATAAAGAAAAAATGCTGTGTTTAGAGTGCTAGATAGCCTTCAACTTTTGTTTGTTCTGTTGGGTGGTGTCTTTCTATGATGCCTAGGCTGGCCTTGACCTCCTAGGTTCAAGTGGTTCTATGGCCTCACCCTCCCGCATACCACAGTGCCTGGCTTGAAAAATAAGTTTTAAAAATTAATAAAATGAAATCTTTGGGTTGATATATCTTCAGTTTTGTAATTTAAAATTTGCTTGAATTGTTTCAAATATTAAAATATGAATAACCATTAAGCATTTTAATTTAAAAGAAATATGAATGTAAAATTCACAGATTTAAGGTAAGCCATGGCCTCTCCTATAAAATTTGTTTTAAAGTTATTTTATTTGTATGGTGTCTTTGATATAGCATCCAGTGTTTTTTAATTATTAAAAAAAGAACAAAGTATCAAACTTCATTTTTTTCAGCAGACTTTTGAAAACAGTATATGAAATTATAGTGTTACTTTAGTTGTGCATTACTGCCTTTTCATTTTTTCTGTTGGTAGATTTTCTGTCTAAAGTTGTTTATTAAAAACCTATAAAAAACATTAAATTTGTAAATTAACTAGTTTTTAAAGGAATTTGAGGAAACTCATAGATAATGTAAAGCAAGGAAAAGTAGTTTTGTATCTCTCCGTAATAATTTCATCTCTTTATAATTCAGAACATATGATATTTGTGAAGTATCTCCTGGACCCCACTTGAATATGATCATTGGAGCCAATGGAACAGGGAAGTCGAGCATCGTGTGTGCCATTTGCCTTGGTTTAGCTGGGAAACCTGCTTTCATGGGACGAGCGGATAAAGTGAGTTAACATAAGTACTTTTTAAGAAAATTCAAAACTCCTAATTGCTTTTAGTAACATCACTTTCTACACCCCAGTTGCTTGGGTATAGCAAGCTTACCGTGCGTGAATATGAAGAATAAATTTGGCAGGTAGAGAAGCTGGAAGGAGACTTTCATTTCTAGAAGTATTTTGGACTATAATAATAGAGGATTCTCCAAGTCCCTTACACCTGAAATGCTAGAAATAATGTAATATGTCTTTTTTTTTTTTTTTTTTTTTAATTGCATCGATTGACTTGTGGAACAGTGAAGTAAAATTAGAAAAGGCAGAAACAAAATACAGTCATATATTGCTTGATGATGGGGACATATTCTGAGAAAATACATTATAAGACAATTTTGTCATTGTATGCACTCAGAGAGAGTACTTACACAAACCTAGGTGGTATAGCCTATTGCTCCTAGACTACATCCCTGTAGAGCACGTTACTGTAGTGAATACTGTTGGCAGTTGTAACACAGTGGCCTACATTGTACGTTTGTAAACATCTAAATATAGAAAAGGTACAGTAAAAATACAGTATGAAAGATAAAAATGGTATACCTGTATAGGGCACTTACCATATTCATGAGAGCAGGGGGCAGAAAAACACTGCCTGAACAATCCAGAGGGAGTCTTGATAGAGGAGGAGGAGGAGGAGATGAGAAATACAAAACATGAGATCATTAAAAATGACAAAATATTGGTTGGGTGTGGTGGCTCATGCCTGTAATCCCAGCACTTTGGGAGGCCGAGGTCAGGAGTTCCAGACCAGCCTGGCCAACATGGTGGTGAAACCCTGACTCTGCTAAAAATGCAAAAATTAGCCAGGCATGATGGCGGGCGCCTGTAAACCCAGCTACTTGGGAGGCTGAGGCAGGAGAATTTCTTGAACCTTAGAGGCAGAGATTGCAGTGAGCCAAGATCACACTATTGCATTCCAGCCTGGGTGACAAGAGCGAGACTGTCTCAAAAATAAATAAATAAAAATTACAAAATAAGATGGCAGAAATATGTACAGATATAATCACAATAATTATAAATGATCTAAACCCTCATTAAATGAAAAAGTCGGTTAGAATGGAGAAATAAAACAAGGTTCAGTTCTCTTTTGTTTTTAGTAAACATATCCAAAGTGCTACAGAAAAGTTAAGAGTAAAAGAGTGAAAAAAATACATGCCTGGCAAATATACAAAAGAAAGTAGGTGTAGCTGGATTAATACTAGACAAACAGACGTTAGAGCAAAGAGTATTTTTAGAGATAGTAGTGGTCATAAAACACTGATGAAAGTTTCAGTTCACTAGACAATAATTCAGTTCTTAACTTGAATTCACATTATAATCTAGCTCCAAAATATGTAGGCAAAATCTGCAGAATGCTAACAAGCACTTAATGTATCAATAATCATACTGGGAGAGCTATCAATAATCAAATAAAAAATCAGACTACAGAAGATTTTAATAGTGAAGGTAAGGTTGAACTAATGGACATATTTTTAAAAACGCACTCAACTAGAGAGTAGGCATTCTTTTCAAGCACAAGTGAACATTTCTAAAAGTTAATTGTATACTGAGTCATAAAGCAAGTGTCAAAAAATGGACGCAACATAGTCATATCCTGGAGACAATGCTATTAAGACAGAAATAAAAAATTTAAATTTAATGGAGGGTTACAAAATGAGAGCAAATGCCCCTTAACATTATAAATTATTTAAAGTGTGTGTGTGTGTGTGTGTGTGTGTGTGTGTGTTTAGCGCTATGTGGGAAACATCAGATAGAATAGATACTTTTCTCTGTTAATAACTAGCCTTGTGACCTTGAACAATTATCTGGACTTCAGTTTTTCTTCATTTCAAAAATAAGAGAGTTGGAACAGATAGAATCCCAGAACCAACTGAGATTTTTATGAATATTGATGTATAGTTTTTAAATTGTCAGATCATTTAATCCCTGTCTCTTTGTAATGGTCTGTTGGATTGTACTCCAGGAACTGTACAGTAGGAGTGAATTGGCTATAACAACTTTTGCTTTCTCGTGTTTATTTTTGTCATGAAAACACGTCTCCTCATCCTTGAGTGATAAGATTTTTAAGGGAGGCTGTGGAGTGCAGTGTTTCCTAGATGACAGATTGTAGCCCTTGGGGTATACACAGATGTATTTATGGGATGCCCAAGTTCTCAGCAAGAATATTTAATGTATTTTTGTTTAAATGCTAATATAAAAATTTTTTAAAAACATATTTTGTATCATCTGTATAGATACTTTAAGAACTGCCTCCTGATTTTTTTTTTTCCTCCTCATTGGTACCAAGTATTTTAATTCTTGCAAGCTAACAAGTAGATAGCATTCCTACAAAGATGTCCTTGGTTTCCCTGTGAGAAAACAGAGAGGTTAAGTAACCTGGCCAATGTCTAACAACTTGTATATCGTTGAGTTGAGATTTGAACCTAGATAGTAGATGTTAAAACCTGTACTTTTAAGCGTTAGGCTATACTTGGTGGTTACAAGATAAGGCTTTTTCTTTTCCATCTTTCTGAGACTCAGCTTCATCGTCTATAAAATGAATATATACTTCAAGGTTGCTTATGAGTATACTAAATGAGAAAATACCTGTATAGTGCTTAGCACAACAGTATATAGTAAATACTTGACAAATGTTAGCTGTTGTCATCACTGTCATTATCATTATTAAAAAGATTATCATTTGTGTGGTATATTTTCTACCTTTTTTAGTATTTATTACTTATTTATAACCTAATTTAAGATCCAGTTTGATTTTTTTTTAAAGGCTCAGTCTTTTTGTGCTTAGACTCATAAGCATATAGAAACTAGCACAGATAAGTCTGTTTTATCATGTAAATTTCACTTAATATTGCTCTTTTTAAAACAAGGCTTGGTGGCAGTTATATCATTAGCAGGGTAGGTAATATTAGCATGGTTGTTAATATTTAACCTGTATGACTGTAGGAAGTCTTCAGTGGTAGTAAGAAGGTTTGAGTGCTTAGTGGTTATACTATAGGACCTGTTTTCCCACAGGCATTTTCTCTTCTCTCTGAGTGTTTAAAATAGTGGCCAAGTACACAGGCTCTGAAACCAGATTTCCTGGGTTCAGATCCTTTTTCTGGCACTTACTAGCTTTGTAAGAAGCTATATAGTGCATATGAGTTCAATAAATTTTACCTGATATTATTGTTGTTATTCGTGGGAGGGAACAATGGAATAACCTGGGAGGGATACTTAGAAAGTGACAATAGAGGACATGCAAGTGGTAACTGAAAAAATCTTGATTTGACAAATAATAATGACTGCTGAATTTCTGATTGTTAACCTGGGAATGTCATTACACAGCTCACTTCTTCTTTTTCATGTCTTAGGTTGGGTTTTTTGTGAAGAGAGGATGTTCCAGAGGCATGGTTGAAATTGAATTGTAAGTGGTAAAAGTGCTAAAACTCCTTTTTCCTGTATAAATTCTTAGTTTATATTCATGCTTTCCTGATGATTAGAAATGAGTATTAATATAGATTATGGCATAAATATTGGAAAAAATATTTAAAGAATACTTAATGTAAGGGGTTTTTAAAATGTATTTTCAAAAACTTAAATTGTAGGCCAGGCATGGTAGCTCACGCCTGTAATCTGAGCACTTTGGGGAGGTCAAGGCAGGCAGATCACCGGGGGTCAGGAGTCAGAGACCAACCTGGCCAACATGGGGAAACCTGTCTCTACTAAAAATACAAAAATTAACTGGGCTTGGTGGCGCAAGCCTGTAATCCCAGCTACTGGGGAGTCTGAGGCAGGAGAAGAGCTGGAACCAGGGAGGCGAAGGTTGGAGTGAGCCGAGATGGCACCATTGCACTCCAGCCTAGGGAACAGAGCAAGGCTCTGCCTAAAAAAAAAATCCACTTGGGGTACAGAGCAAGACTCTGCCTTAAAAAAAAAATAAAAACTTGTGAGAATTTTATTTTTAAAAAAATCATCAAGGAAATGATAAGTTTGTAGCAGGTAATGAAATAGAACTATAGTACTGTTAAATAGTCGTGGTAAAGTTACAACATTTTTCACAAATTTAAAGTATCTGGGTTTTTTTAGTGCTGATCTTCAAAGTGATACTTGTTTTTTAAAAATGCAAACTATGTAGAAGTGTATAATGTTGAAAATAAAAGCCTTCTTGCCGTCATTCTTAATTCTATAAATAACTACTGTTAATAGTTTAGTGAATCTCATATATGACAAGAACTTGGTACTTCTGTCACCATTTTTTATTTCCTTCCTTATGACACCAATAATTCATCATGATATTATTTTCCCTTGAGCATGGATATTCTCAATTGACCATTCCTGGCAGCTGTTTCTGGTGGATTAGAGTTGATGTTACGATGAAACCAGTTGACCAGCCTTGGTGTATATAATTTTAATCTTTGACACATAAATACACACATTGTTTAGGTGATTTTTAGAGACCGTTGCTTTTGGAATATTAGTAGAAAGTTGTGGCGTTTTTTAGCTGAAAAGCTTTTAAAGATTATCTGATAGCCCTACCATTTGATATGAGATGAGGAAATGATCTTTTATAAAAAAATAACTAGAAAAGTTTTTATTTTTGTAGAGATGAGAAAGATACACATGTAAGTAAAAAGAAAATAAAATTTAAAATGCCCAACATATTAAAATATGATAGAATTTTACTGAAGAATATAAAATCAATACCTGAAGAAATGGTGAAGCATGATATATTCCTAAAATCATAAAGTTAATGTCATTATTAACATGTCAGACCAGGTGCAGTGGCTCATGCCTATAATCCCAGCACTGTGGGAGTCCAAGGCAAGTGATTGCTTGAGTTCAGCAGTTGGAGACCAGCCTGAGCAACATGGCAAAACTCCGTCTCTCCCCAAAAATACAAAAATTAGCCAGGCATGGTGGTGCGCACCTGTAGTCCCGTCTACTCAGGAGGCTGAGGTGAGAGAATCACCTGAGTGACAGAGTGAGACTGTCTGCAAAAAAACAGAAACAGAAAAGTCAATCCTTTCTAAATTAATACATTTGATACCATTCCAAAGAGAGTCTCAACAGGTAAGTTTATAAGTTGATTCTAAACTTCATCTTGAAGAATAAATGAGCCAGAAAACTCAAGATTTCGAAAAAGCCCAGTTGTGAATAACATTTTTGTCTACCAAATGTTGAAGTACACTCTAAGTTGTTGATGTAAAATAGTGTGATACTAGTATAGAAGGTGAGAGGAGCAGAATAGAGAAACCAGGAGCAGATCTAAATGTGCATGAGAACTTAATGTAAAAGCGTCAGTTTAAGTGTGGGATATTGTAAGAGGTAGGAAAAACCAAACTTGTTTTGCTACTCTCAAATTCAACACAGCACAGAACACTTCTGCACCAGATGTGTGAGTTTTTTCCTCCACACCCTGCAATTCAGTTCAGTTCTGACACTAACCAAAATCAGTACAGGACCCATAGTTTAGAGGCTTAGTCACGCAGGACTGCCCTCCACTTTATATGCCATTTCAAGTCTTAGGTTGTACCCTGTACTTCTGACCAACCAGCTGTAAATTGAGGTTCCCAGGACCCCTTTCTTGGTTCAGTTATTTGCTAGGATGGCTCTTGAAATTCAGGGAAACACTTAGGTTTACCCATATATTATAGATTGATAGCACAGAGGCAGATGATTAGCAAAATACAGGGCGAGGTCTGGAAGGGTCCAGAGTGCAGGAGCTTCTGTCCCCATGGATTTGGGGTGCACCACTTTCCCAGCATGTGGAGGTGTTCCTCAACCTGGGAGCTCTCTCAAACCCATGGTTCAGGGAATGTTATGGAGGCTTCATCACATGGGTATGAGAAACTCAATCTCTAGTCCTGCTGTCCTTCCCAGAGCATGAGGGGCAGGTTGGTGGGGCTAAAGGTTCTAAGCTTCTCTTCATGACTTTATCTTTTTGGTGACCAGCCCACATCCAGGACCCCATCAAGAGTTGCCTCATTAGAAAAAGACACAGTTGTCACCTAGGGAATTCCAAGGGATTGAGAGTTCTGTGTCAGGAGTTGAGGGCATAGACTAAATATGTATTTTTTTTTTTTTCTTTTTTTTTTTTTTTAAAGACGGAGTGTCACTGTTGCCCAGGCTGGAGTGCAGTGGCGCTGTGTCGTGTCGGCTCACTGTAACCTCCATCTCCCAGGCTCAAGCAATTCGTCCGCCTCAGCCTCCCAAATAGCTGGGATTACAGGCGCCCACCACTGCGCCCTGCTCATTTTTGTATTTTTAGTAAAGATGGGGTTTTGCCACGTTGGCCAGGCTAGTCTTGAACTTCTGACCTCAAGTGACGCACCCGCCTTAGTCTTTCAAAGGGCTGGGATTACAGGCGTGAGCCACCATGCCCAGCCCACGTATTTCTTATTACAGGTTGAATATTCCTTAAATGCAGTGCTTGGGACCGAAGTGTTTTGGATTTGAGTTTAGAATATTTGCATTATACTTATCAGTTCAGTATCCCCAATATGAAAATCTGAATACAAAACACCTCAATGAGCATTACTATTGAGTGTCATGTTGGCATGAAAGAACTTTTGGATTTCAGAGCATTTCAGATTTTTGGACTAGGGATACTCAACCTGTATATCACAGTATGATAGTATAAATTATTTCAGTTGAGTGGAGGTCATTGTTAATTTTTTAAAGATAAATTCAGAGCTTTACCTAACACCTTACACATAAATAAAATTTAAGCGTATCAATGTTGAGCACTTTTTCCATGAAGGTTCACATGGCCTTGAGAGTACAAAATGGCCATGTATTCCTTGAATAGAATGGTGGGTAGAATAATCTCTGGCGTATATTTACGTAGTCATTTTCCAGATATTTATTGAGCACCTATATATTGGGGATATAGTACTCTTCCCTCATGGAATTTATAGTTGGTGGAATAAGTGGGGGACACTTAGATAAGTAAACTATATATTATGTTAGGTTGTGATAAGTGCTACCTAGAAAAATAAAACAGGAAATAAGATAAGAGTGACAGAGTAGAGTTTTACAGTTCTAAATAGGCTGATCAGAAAAGATCTCACTGAGAAGATAGCATTTAAGCAAAGACCAGAAGGAAGGCAGGTAATGAGAATGGAGATAATTGGGGGGATATTATTTCACCTATAGGGATCTGCAAGTGCTAAGGCTCTGCAGTGGTACTCACAGTGACTGGATCGAATTGAAGGAGAATAGTAAAAGGTAAGCAGTGAAAATATCAGGGAGTCAAGGCGATTTTCAGTGTAAGGCTTGGCATTTATTTTGTGTAAGCTGTGAAGCCACCAGGTTTTTAGCAGAGGAATGATGTGATGTAAATTAAAAGTTTAACTAGATTGGGTTGCTGTGTGGAAAGTAGACTTTAAGAGAGCAAAGACAAAAGCAAGAATGTCAGTTAAGTGACTAATAGAACAACCCTATGAGAGATGATAGTAGCTTATGATTTGCTTATAAATCAGTATGTAGAGTGTGGGAGAAGGAGCAAGACATCAGGGAGGACTCTTAAGGTGTCTGGCATGATTAAGGGTAGAGTATCTATTAACTGAGGCAGACAGACCTACTGCAGAAGGTTTTGGGAGTAAGATGATCAGTAGATCATTTTAGAGTAGATCATACATCATTGAACTAAGATGCCACCACTTGGATCATGTAGCATCCAATTAAAATTAAACTAGCACAGATAGTTTGAAATGTGCATCCCGATTTCAGAGATGTTAATATGTTTTTTTTTAAAAAAAGATACTTTTCAGAATCAAACATGATTAAATTTGAGATGCCTAGTAGATATTTAGTCAGAGCTGGGCATAGTGGCTTGTGCCTATAAACCCAGCACTTAGGGAGGCAGAGGTGAGAGGATTGCTTGAACTCAGGATTTTAAAACACACTCAAACACACACACACACACACACACACACACGCACGCACGCGCCTGAATTTCAGGTTTAACAGGCAGTTAGATAATAGATAAACCTGTGATTCTGGGAGAAGTCTGGGCAAAAGATAACACATTTGGGAAGTTATTAGTATTATGATGGGTTAAATCACCAATGATTCAGAGATACATAAAGAAGAGTTCTAAGAACTTATCTGCTACAATGTACCTTTTAGAGATTAAACATAGGGAAAACTAGGAAAGGAAACTGAGAGAATTAGCTAGTGAGTTGGAAGAATACAGTACCTGGAAACCAGTACTTGGAACAACTTCAGGAGTCAGTTGTCCATCAGCTGTGTCTGATACTGGTGATGTCAAGTAAATTGAGAACAAAGAGTTCATCATCAGTATTTATTGAGTTGGCCATATCATTTAAGTTGAAGAATTAATTAATTCTGTAATGTTTGCTCAATTTTGCATTCTTAGAATAACCCAGTTTGGTCATAGTTTTTTGATGCATTGCTAGATTGGTTTTCTAATATTTTATTTAGGATCTTTACATCTGTATTTTGTTTGTGAAAGATACTTGTGGTTTGAATGTTTGGTTAAACTTACTGCTAAAAATAATCTGATGTGTATTAGGGTGCCTTGCAAAAAAAAAAAAAAAAAAAAAAAAAATCTGGCTCTTTTTTTCCTAACTACTAATTTAATTTTTTTTCTAACTACTGATTTCATTTATTTGTAGTAAATGGGTTGCTTATATTTTTCTGTTTCTTATTGGATCACTGATTATTTATATTTTCTAAAGAATTCTCCCATTTTTCTTAGTTTTAAATTTTATTGACATGAACACCATCCTCTTATATGAGTTTTTAATATATGTATATTGTCTTACATATGACAGTATTTAAGTGTCTTCTAAAAATTGATTTGTCAATTTTAGTAGTTTTTTTTCAATGAACTAACTTTTGCATTTGTTTTATATCATGATTTTCTGTTTCATTAATTTCTATTCTTACCTTGACTGATAATCATTTTTTGAAATGGATATTTATTGCAATAATTTCAGTCTTTTGTTTACCCTAATGTGAACAGTTAAGGTTAAAAATGTCCCCCTTAGTATTGCCTTAGCTCTCTCTCTCCAGTGTTAGTGTATAGTATTTACTGTTTTTCAGTTCTGAGTATTTTCTTTATGAGTTTGTAATTAGAAGTTGTTTCTAATTCTAATGTAGTGATTTTTTTATTTTTTAATATTAGTTTCTGCTTTGATTGTATTGCAGTTAAATATATAGAGTACTGGTTTTATGTTACTAATCCTTTGAAATTTCTTTCTTTTTTGTAGTGAACTTTTGTAATTGTTCTTTGGCTGAAAGAATAAGTTTTCTCTTGTAGATATCTGCAGTGTTCGGTATTTGGCCATTAGTTCAAGTTTATTAGTTACATTGTCAATCTTCTATATTTTTGTTGATTTCAGTTGTCAGATTGATTCCTTAATTACCGATAAAGGTTGCACTGTTTCTCTATGCAGATTTGTTAATTATCCTTATCCTGTCAATTTTTGCTTTATGTATTTCTAGGACATTATTAGTTGCATCTAAAATTCAAATTGTTTATCTTTCTGGTGATTTTAACTTTGTATTGTTAGTTACTGACCTTGATCTTTCTTTTGCCTTAAAGTCCATTTAGTTTGCCATTAATGTAGTTAGCATCTTTTTTTTTTCACCCTAGGATTTTTCTAGGGGACATTCTTTTTTCATTCATTTCACGTTTTTAATATCTTTTGTTATCTCATTTAAACTAATATAGCTGTGTTATTTTTTTCTGTAGTCATTTAAGTAAAGCATATAACCAATTTACAAATATAATTTTATGTTCAAACTTATTTTTACTATCTTATTCTCTGCTTTTTGTTTTTCACACTCTTCAGCATTTCTTTTCTTGCTTGTTTTTGTCAGATATTTCTTTCATTTTTCCTTGTCGTCTTGCATTCTTTTGTTTTAGTGGTTACTGGAATTTTAGCAGGAATCCTTATTGAAGTCCAGACTGAATATTTGGACTATAGCACTAACAAAGTGCTATAACTTTGTTCTTAATAACTTCCCTGAACTTACATGCTCTTAAATTTCTATCTTTTAAAAACTCCTCAAGACATTATTAATAATATAGTTATATTAATTATGTTGTCAGTGTTTGTTCTGTTTGTTTTGCTTTTCATTCCTTCTTCTATTTCTGATTTTCTCTGTGGGGTCACTTTCTGCCAAAAGGACAGTCTTTAAAGTTTCCTTTTATGAGAGTTTTCTGTTGGAACACTCAGTTTTTAATTGGAAAATGATGTTATTTTGCTCTAAATCTTGAAAAGATGTGTTTCATGGATATCAAATTCTATATTGACAGGTCTCTTCTCGAATACTCAAAATATAATAGTATAATGCCGTCGTTGTCTTCCTGTTTTGTTTTGTTTTGGCAACAGGGTCTTACTCTGTCACCCAGGTAGAGCGTAGTGGCCACGATCATGACTCACTGCATCCTCGACTTCCTTGGTTCAAGTGATCCTCCTGCCTCAGCCTACAGGCAACTCACCACCATGCCCAGCTTTTCTTCTTCTTTTTTTTTTTTTTATAGAGAATGGAGTCTCACCATGTTACTCAGACAGGTCTTGAACTCCTGGGCTCAGGTGATCCTTCCACCTTGGCCTTCCAGAATACTGAGATTACAGGCAAGAGCCACCACGTCTGGCCCCATTGTTTTCATCTGATGTGAATCTGATCTGAGTTTATTTGATAGTAATCATTCTCTTTTTCTCAAGATGCTTATAAACTCATTTTCTTTTCTTTTTCTTTTTTTTTTTTTTTTGAGTGTTTTAGTTTCATACATATTTAGGCATGGATTTATTTTTTATTTATTTTTGTTGGTGTTTAATGACACTCTTAAACTTGTGATTTGTTGTCTTTCATCAGTTTTGCAAAGTTCTTATTTATGATCTCTTTAAATACTGCTATTTACCCATTCTCTGTCTCCTGTCCTAGAATTCTTATTAAACATTTTAAGCCTTCTTAGTCACCCAGATATCTTTCGTATTTTGTATTGTTATTTCTGCTAGTGTTCATGAGGCTTTGTTTTCTTGTGTGCATGTTTCTAGTGAGCTACTCTTCTCCTTTGAACTTTATCTGTGTTAATTCTTTGAAGATAACATAGATTCTGGAAGAGGAAATTACTAATTTCTGCCAGAGACCATTGAATCCTTTCAGTTCAGAATCACAGTGTATAGAATTCTCAGCTTATGGTGGTAGCAATGAAGTATTCCTAATTTACCCTTGCACTGAGGGTATGTCCCTTAGGTATGGCTTTCACTTGGAGTCTCCCTCTTTCATGGCTATGGGCTTTGTCTATTTTTGTCCTCTACCAGCAGATCATGAAAATGAATTCTCAAGATCACCTGATTGGGCAAATCCCCTCAAGATGAAAGCCAGTTTTATTTTTCTACTCTGGGTTTCCACCTGTACTAGGATGTTAGCCAGAATTCCTTACTTTGATGCTAATGGATGAATTTATTTATTCAGATATTTTAGTATTTTATTGTTTTTAGTTGTTTACAGCAGGAGGATCAATAGGGGTACTTTATTAGTCATTCTCCTGGAAATGAAAGTTTAAATTCCTAAAATCTTACTGTTTCAAGTGGCCTGATTACAATGTAATCTGTGTATACAACATTTATAAGTTATTGTCATTTAGCGATTAGATACCAATAATTTATCTTTCTACCACATGCTGCTGAATCCCAGTGAAGAAGATGGATGAATAGATGGGAGGTGTGGAGCAGTGGTACTTCTAAAATCAAGAAATAAGTAAATACCCTTCTTTCAGATTCTGTATTGCTTAATGTTCCTTTATATCCATGTGATGTAATCCTCTCTGAATTCAGATTGGAGGACATGGTGAGGAATCCATGGGCTACCTGTATGGGTAGTTTTGATTTCTGGACATGTCTAAGAGTCAGTTTTCATTCATACATTTTCTGAGCAGGGGGAGTTTCAAGGTTTAACTGCTCTACCCTTTAATATACCAACACATTTTGGGTTGCAGTCAACACACGTAATTGAAGAACAGCATCATAATTAAAGGATAAACAACTCCAGATATGTGACTTCTCAAGTAGTGTTTGTGAATTAGTATTGACATCTGTTTTAATAGTTTAAATAATTTTGAATGCTGAGTAAGTAACTAATGTGGTCACTTATGGTATTACTTACAAAATGCCAAGGTTTTCTTGGGAAGGGCCAGAATATCAAAAGGAATAAAAATTATAAGAATAATCTATCTGGCACCTTTGGTGCAAGACAATTTTGGAAATTTTGTCTCTAAGCTAATTTGTGTATATTGAATATAAAGATTCTTAAATTATTTTTTACTTAGGTTCAGGGCTTCTGGAAATCTTGTAATCACCCGTGAGATTGATGTGGCAAAAAATCAGTCCTTTTGGTTCATCAACAAAAAATCTACCACGCAGAAAGTAGTGGAAGAGCAAGTTGCAGCCTTAAATATTCAAGTGGGGAATCTTTGCCAGTTTCTACCTCAGGTATGAGAGAGATAAATGCAAAGATGGGAAAATTTTGTATATAGTGTTTCCTTTTTATGCCATAGCAGGGCTATCTTAATGACTAAATTGAACATAGCACTCTTACAATTCTTTGTAAAGGTAGCATTTCATCACTTAGAGTATAATGTTAATAATTGGTAGTAATTTGGAAAATTGCAATTAGTAAAAAAGTCTAAATTAGAGTATTTTGAAATAAACTTGTATTATTTTTAAGTTCAGAGAGTAGCTCAGCTATGTGCTTCTATTTGTAGACCCTTAAAATGTTGTTAATAAACAGCTTTTTAGTCAGTGTATTTGTTTGTGTAAAATATTGGATACACTAAAACTCTTATAAGTATACCTTCTAAAATCTTGTTATACTTTGTTTATTAAAAATAAAAATGCTGATAATGTATGTTGAAGTCATCTTACCTCTTAAATTTGACTTTCAATGCTGTCTAGTGACTATTAGTTAATTTCTTTTTGTTCAGAAACACAGTGATGATTTTGTAATGTGCAAATTAAATAAAACAAACATTTTAAAGCATTTTATTTAACACTCATCAGCTGATGTCAGATTATCACTCAGAAGCAGATGTTTGAAATTGCCTTTTTTTCTTTTTAAACCCTCTAACATTTCAACTGATATGTAATAAACTGTGATCATTTTCATATTGGGACTATGTATTCTTTCATTCCCAAATTTTTATTACACATATATAAACATTTCAACCTTGAAATACTGGCATAGAAAAATTTTTAAAGATGATCAAAAAGGTAACAATTTATAGTGTAAGTTTATCCTCATTATCCTAAAGAATAAGGTTCAAAAGGTTTATATATCAAAGGTTTTGTTAAATGAATTTTACCTTAACAAGTGTAAGCATTGAGTGAATTACATTTTTAAGATATTTGTAGATAAATGATAGTTGCCGATATTTAATTTTTGTGCTTTAGGACAAAGTTGGAGAATTTGCTAAACTCAGCAAAATTGAACTACTTGAAGCCACTGAAAAGTCCATTGGTCCCCCAGAAATGCACAGATATCACTGTGAACTGAAAAACTTCAGGGAAAAAGAAAAACAGCTTGAGGTACTTTAAAATAGGCAACTCATTTGTATTGTTTTTACTGATTTCTGTGTCTCAAAATGTGAGAGAGTGAATAGTAGTATTTATTCATTGAGAGAATTTATATTTGTGATTTTTTTTTTTCACCTAAGGGTTGTACTGCTAATATCATTGGTTAAAGTGACAGAGTGAGAATGGATCTGATAATGTGACGTTTAAAAAGGTTGACTATTTCAACAAATACATACTGTTAATTGAATTATTTATTTATTTATTTTCCCCCCAGTAATGGCTACAAGCAATGTTAATTGAATTTTTAAGGAACCAATAATAGTATTATAAAAAATTTTTTTTATCTCAGTAAGTTCTAGTGTTTTTCATTCATTCATTGTCTACATAGTGCCTGGCACAAACACCTGCTATGTGTAAGAACACTGTACACATTGCAAGAGAATGTAGACTTTGCAAGAGAATTATACATTTAATTGGAATGTTGTTGTTTATTTTCACCTTTAATAAATATAAAAATATACTTTTACAGCGTATCCTTTGTAAAGGTTTTTTTTTCTATATCCCAGCAACTAAAATAAATACAGTAAATTTTCATAATAAATCTTTTAATTTGAGTTTTGTGGCCCAGACCTCCAATCCCAGTACAGTCGCTTGAGTCCAGGAGTTCAAGACTAGCCTGGGCAACATAGGGAGACCCTGTCTCTACAAAAAAATAAATAACAGAAATTAGGCATGGCTGTACTTCTAGCACTTGGGAGGCTGAGGTCAAAGGATTGCTTGGGCCAAGGAGGTCAAGGCTGCAGTGAGCTATGATTGTACCACTGTATTCTAGCCTGGGTGACAGAGTAAGACCCTGTCTCAGAAAAAGGGAAATCTGGCCGGGAGTTGTGGCCTACACCTGAAATCACAGCACTTTAGGAAGCCGAGGCAGATGGATCACCTGAGGTCAGGAGTTCTAGACCAGCCTGGCCAACATGGTGAAACCCTGTCTCTACTAAAACCACAAAAATTACCCAGGCATGGTGGTGGGCACCTGTAATCCCAGCTGCTTGGGAGGCTGAGGCAGAAGAATCACTTGAACCTGGGAGGCAGAGGTTGCAGTGAGCCAAGATCATGGCATTTCACTTCAGCCTGGGCAACAAGAGTGAAACTCTGTCGCAAAAAAAAAAAAAAAAGGAAATCTTTAAAAAAAAAAAAATTATTTATTTATTTATTTTAAATTGTAGGTTCAGGGGTACATGTGCAAGTTTGTTATAAAGATATGTTGTGTCACAGGGATTTGGTGTGTCAGTTAGTAAGCATAGAAATCTTGGAACCAATTGCTTTTTCTATACTTAATATGTATTTTACTGTAGTTAAATGTTAGTATTTTACCTTTGTCCACCAGACAGTGAAGAGAATGTTGTTATTATACTTACTCAAAGTAAATAATCAAAGGAGTTGTTATGAGCTTTTTATAATTATTTTATCCTTCTTCAGATATTGTGTTCTTTTATCAGAATGTTGTTGTTATACATATTCGTCGTGAATAATCAAAGGAGTTGTTCTGAGCTTTTTATAATTATTTAATCCTAATTCAGATATTGTGTTCTTCGATCTTTCTCTACATCAAACAATCTAATACTTTCACTTGAAACACTTACCTACACTCTCGACCATCCTCTGAAAGAAAACAAGCATGCAAGCATATATTCTAGGTTTTGAATACATCTTTGTATTTATTAATTCACAACATAAAGGCTAATTCTTAGCTTGCTTTCATCTAGTTTCTTAGACCTTTCAGTCATGAGTGTTTGTTTAACATACTAATCCTAGTAATACTACTTTTCATTTATGTATCACTTTTACAGCTTTCGTTTAGCTTTCATGTATATTAAATGAATTGCTTCTACCCTTCAAGTGGATGGAGCAAATACTTCGCTTATCTTTGGACAAGAACACCTTGGACTCAGATGTGGCAGGGCTTCTTTACAGTTAGTATTAAAAAAATAGTAGACTCTAGAGCAAAACTTGGATATGAATATTACTTTTACACAGGTTTTGGGGTTTTTTTTGAGACAGGGTTTCACGGTTGCCCAGGCTGGAGTGTACATAGTTCTTAAGAACTGTGAATTCTTTATTGTGAAATTTTGCTATCATTGTTTATTTTTCATTGTTAAAAGATTTGACCTGTTGTCTTTTTTCCGTTAAACTGATTGTTCAATATGTATTTATTGTAGACCTCATGCAGAGAGAAAACTGAATATCTACAGAAAATGGTTCAGAGGAATGAACGATATAAACAGGATGTGGAGAGGTTCTACGAACGGAAGCGACATTTAGATTTGATTGAGATGCTTGAAGCAAAAAGGCCATGGGTGGTAAGTCATAATTTTTAGAGGCAAAATAGATATTTCTTTTAAGTAGCAGAGTAATTGTAATGAAAGCATTAATTACTGTGTATTCAAATTAGGTGCTGCTTTTTCATTTTTGGCTTTATATGTTATACATAATAAAATTCATACGTCTTTTATTTTTGAGACGGTGTCTTGCTCTGTCACCCAGGCTGGAGTACAATAGTGCCATGTTGGCTCACTGCATCCTCTGCTTCCCGGGTTCAAGTGATTCTCCTGCCTCAGCCTCCCAGTAGTTGGTATTATAGGTGTGTGCCACCATGCCTGGCTAATTTTATTTTTGTATTTTTAGTCGAGATGGGGTGACACCATGTTGGTCAGGCTCATCTCGAACTCGTGACCTCAGGTGATCTGCCCACTTCTGCCCCCCAAAGTGCTGGGATTACAGGCATTAGCCACCACACCAGACTCTTTTACTAGTTTATTACATTAGCTGCGTGCTAGTATTACTGTATAATAATTAATAGTTAACGCAGTGCTTTTCTTTCAGATTTTAGTCCTCAACAGATAGTTCTTTGATTGTTTTTTGAAGATGTTAATGATCAGAAAATTAAATCTCTGAGTGTCCTCAGTCATGTCACTAAGAATTTATTTGGGGTTTGCCACTAGTATCAGCCTCAGTTACAGATGTAGCTGATGTGTCTTAACTATAATCTTCTACTCACATGTTTTATAATTTTCCTGAGGCTAATTTGTTGTTTCTAATCACTCTGTGATGTTATTTTATAATTTAAGGCTATAGTTCAGATTAAAGATTCACTTTCCTCATTGCATTACTTTATAATAGGTAGAACAAGATAGGTAAGAAAGTTTTGTAGTATTTGTTCCAAAGTTAAAATGAAAATAATTGTTACAGCTTGAAGTGGCTATATTTGTGGCATTCTTGTTCTGTCTTCCCCGCTCCTCCCTACCGTGTTCCATCATTTCATGATTCTTAAATTTTCCTTTCCTCAGCTTTTCTAACTCATTTTGTCTATGTCCATTATTACTGCTTCACTCACTTTGTCTTTTGATTTTTCCTATTTTTTTCTAAGATTGATTTACCTTTTATATTTTTCTTCTTTTTTGATTTACTCTCATGTTTATTCATTTTTTCTTTTCTTACCATCTTCCCATTCACTCTTATTATATGTTGTCTTAGTGTGCCACTTAATTTTTGTGTAGCAAATATTCCTGTGACATGACAGACATCACTTTCATCTACATGCTGCTTTTTCTTTTTGTTTTGACCCATTTTCCTTTTGTTCTTTTTTTTTTTTTTTTTTTTTCATTTTTACCCTTTATACTTGAGTTTCTTTTGCTTCTTCATACATCCCTGTATCTCTTCTTTATTGACGGATTAGAGGTAAGTCACATTTTCATAGCCATTAGGATATGTTTCAGAGAACAAGGTGGAAGTTCAAGAATGTGAACTAGTGATAAAAGTAAATGCTCAGTGATTATCAAGACTGTTATTAAACCGTTACAGTGGTATTTACTATTTCTGAAGTTGTCTCAGAGAACAAATTTTACATTAATAGAACTCCCAAAAGGATATCCAAACAATCTTTTCTTAGATTTGGTTGCTGCCTTGACTTTGATTTTAGTATATGTGTTAGTTTAAGCTAGTTCATTAACTTCAGTTGTTGAATTATTTGCAAGGAATATGAAAATGTTCGTCAGGAATATGAAGAAGTAAAACTTGTTCGTGACCGAGTGAAGGAAGAGGTCAGAAAACTTAAAGAAGGGCAGATTCCTATGACACATCAAATTGAAGAAATGGAAAGGGAGCGTCACAATTTGGAGGCTCGAATCAAAGAAAAGGTACTTTTTGGGTTCGATTTTGGATTATCTGAATTTTATTTTAGCAAATATAAAAAATATTTTGCAGGTGTTTGAAAATATTTTCAAGGGTTTGCTTGTGTCTTTCATTTCTTAAGTTTTGTAACCAGGAATTCTGCCACCATAGGGCTTTCAAGGACTGCTCATTACTGTTGAAGTGTTGCTACTTTTTAGGACTTCCAAGATACAAAGAGAGAGAAGTGAAATGTGATTCTTTTTTTTTTTTTTTAATTACAAGAGGATTCATAGTAGTATTCATGGAAACACTGAGCTCTTTTTTGAATGTATTATAGTTGCTTTGTAAATTATACACCCTTTTGAAGGAGGGCAATATAGGAAATCTTGATGTTTTGGAGATGGATAATATAATAATCCTGCATTTTAAAAGTATACCTAGAAATTTTTTATAATTATGGCTTCTAACCTTTGGTGGATTTTGAAGTTAAAGATTATTTGAGAATTGTTTAAATTCCTGCTTCTAAAATAATGCAGTACAGGAGATCCAAAATTGTACATGAGATTTTGGAGATTCATGGATGCACAGATGTCAAGGTATTGACCCCTACTTCTGATATGACTGGGCACGGTGGCTCATACCTATAATCCCAGCACTTTGAGAGGCTGAGGCAGGCAGAACAGTTGAGCTTAGGAGTTCAAGACAAGCTTGACCAGCATGGTGAAACCCCATCTCTACGAAAAATACAAAGAAGTTAGCCAGGCATGGTGGTGCGAGCCTCTAAGTCCCTGCTACTGGTGAGGCTGAGGCAGAAGGATCACTTGAGCCTGCGAGGTTTCAGTGAGCTGAGATCGTGCCACTGCACTCCAACCTGGTTGACAGAGCGAGACCCTGTCTCAAGCAATATATATAATAATAATAAATTAAAAATAAATCAAAATTTAAAAATAAAGAATTTGTGATATAAATTATCATTTGGCTTAAATAAGTAGAATGCTTTGTGATTAGACCAGTGGAGTTTATGCTATGTATATAAATTTTATGAAACCAGAAAACCATTCACAATCTGTGTGTACTGTATACCCCTGATGTTGGCCCCTGTCCTCGAAGATGGGTGTCAATGAACATAAAAGGTGGATTTTGTCCTGGCACTGCTATTGGGAAAAAAATTGTGTGAAACATGATTTCTGCAATTGAAAGATTAGGAGGTAGTGTGTTACAAACTTAGCGGTATTGTTTTTCTTGTAGGCATCTTCTCTATTTTTAAAGATTGTGTTTTATTCTCATGAAAATATGCTACTTCAGGTTTTTTGTTACTGAATTTAAGATTGCCATATCATAAAGGACCTTCACTATACAGGTTTGATTAATGTAACTTTTATCTTCTGTTTGTAAAAAAGAAGTTACGTGGAGCTCTTTGATTTCGAGGTGTGCTTGTACTTTTTAGGTACCTGAAAGTCAAAAAAATGATTTCTTGAGCTAGATGGTATGTGTTGACCAATGCTTACTGAGTGAGAAAGGCCATATTTAGGAATACAAAGAAAACTTTATAACAGAGGAAGTGAATCAACAGTTTTTACTTTGCTTCTATCATGTCAGAAAAGCTCCACTGTATCTTAGTTCTAGTACAGGTTAAAGTGAGTTAAAATTATTGTGCTCAAGTCCAGAAGATTAAGCAGTTATCAAGATCAGATAAAGATTTTAGGACTTGATTAGATCTGATTCTGATAGAGTTGCCATTGGTCATTTTAAATGTTAGGGGAAGAAGAGATTGTAGGTATTATCTAGAAACGTTCTCTCATTGTTAAAGATACTGAATTCCAGTGATAACATGACTTCCTCAAGACTATAGAACTAACAGGTGGCAGTCATTGTTATGTTAATGAAGATTCCTTGTAGTTAAATTGTGGATTGCTTTTTTGGTTCTTGAACCCTCTATTACTACAAAATTACTTTTGTGATAGAAAAAAACGTACATAATAAATTTCAAATCTCTTAAGGAAACATTTAAAACCCTTCGTTTTGTCTGTTTATAACAGAAGCCCAGCTATTACGGCATTGTCAGCCATCCATGAGCCTTCATTTATTTATGTGAAAATCTACATGGCCTAAGATGTTTTAGAATTATTTTCCTAAAGAAGTGATTCTGGATTCTGAAGTGGTACTTATGTCAGTCTTTAGTAAAAGTAGTTATTAGCACCCATAGCCTCGAAACAAGAACACAGTGGTTAGTTTTGTTCAGTATTCATGCTGTTCTTGTTCCTGCTTGTTCTATTCCAGCAGAAAACTTTTTCCAGCACTTGTAGTTGTTTTGTTGTTGTTGTTGTTGTTGTTGTTGTTATTTTTTAATTCCAGGCAGATGATACAGTGTTACAGATGGGGCATAGGCTTTTGAGTCACACAGACCTATATTTTAAATCATAGCTCAGCTGTCTGACCTTAAGCAAATCGTTTAGTCTCTCTGAGCTTTACCCTCCTCCTCAGTCAGGTGAGGACAGTAATAGTAATCTTTATCTTACATGATTAGCATGTATGATTTAAGCATACATCTATCAGTATTACTAGCATCAGAGAATTAGTTTTCCCCTCTGGGAAGAAACTGTTGTCTCTTGGCATCAGAGATCTACCATGGGTTTGGTGATTTGCTAGGAGGGCTCACAGCTAAGATTTATTACAGTGAAAGGATATAAAACAGTCAGTAAAGGAAAAATGCCCTGGGGAGAAAGTCCAGAAGAAACCGGGCACAAGCTTCCAAGGGTCCTCACCTAGAGAAGTCACACAGAATGTGCATAATTCCACTGTCATCAAATTGGGACAACACTTTTAAAGTCCTTTTTGCAGGGAAGTGCATTACAGACTCAGAACCCGAGAGTTTTATAGGCTTTGGGCAACTAGGCATTCTAGCAGCACGTACTCAACTTCCAGAATCCAAGGAAAGCAGATGTTCCACATCAGCCAAATTGTTTGTACAGACATGCACAGTGAGCCACTCTTACCAGTTAGGAAATAGTAGAAATACTCCCAAAATCCAAGTTTCCAGATAACAACCAAGGACCAACCTTGCAAACAAGCCTTTCTAGGAATAGTAGTCTTAGCCCGTAATGTTAATTCTTTTTTGTACAGCCCTGTTCTCTACTGTTGGAATTATATATTATATTGTAGGTGTTACATATTGTAGGTGTTAATGATGTGTAATAAGTGTCCATAATATGTCATGTATGTGTTTTATGTGTTAATGAAAAACATCAAGGAGGTAACATACTTGGTATGTTAGAGAGAACTCTATATTTGAAATAAGACCTGATTTTGGATATTAGTTATCATTTTTTAGCTATATGTACAAGTTAGTTGGCCTCTTTTGAGCCCTATCAGTTAGTAATATTTGTCCTGATTATCCTGTAGGGTTGTTTTTAGGATCAGATAAAATAAGACAGGAAAATAAATGTAAAGAGAAAAACATGCATGCATATTACTGCAAATGTTTATTAGTATCAATAGGAATAACTTCATCGATTTGCAAATAACTTGGTATTTTGTTGATAATTACGGATTTTGTTTGAAATAAATTGTTGTGGGTTAACTCAGTATTTGAATGGGCAGCGCCATATAACATGCTTGCATGAGTTTTTAACTAACTATCTCCTCCCCCTCTGGTTTAATTTTACAGGCAACAGACATTAAGGAGGCATCTCAAAAATGCAAACAGAAGCAAGACGTTATAGAAAGGAAAGATAAACATGTAAGATTTCATACTAAAATTTTTATTACATCAAAATTTGCTGTAACTTTTGTTTTTAAATCTGAATTATGGGACAGATTCATGTTGGAGAATGGCCAGGATCCACTGCATTCTCTATTTCTTAATTTGAGGGAGAGTAAGATTTGGAAGTACAGTAGTTGGCCAGAGGACAAGTGGGAAAAATTTCCAAAAACTGCTAGTAGACTAATAGCTATGCCTTAACTTCGTAGCTGAGTGACTATAGTTTTTTAATAGGATAATGATGGATTTAGTTACCTTATTAGTAAAAATTAAACTCTAAGGGATATATTCTTATTTTTTTAAACACAGAAATCTTTCATTTTGAACAATGAATGATGACATTTATATAGAAAATTATATACCTTTATGCATGATTGAAATTAATGAGACAAAGTATACTTAAACTATGGAGCTTTTCTTTTTTTTTCCTTTTTATTTTTTTCTGACACGGAGTCTTACTCTGTTAACCCAGGTTGGAATACAGTGGCGTAATCTTGGTTCACTGCAGCCTCCACCTTGCAGGCTCCTCCCACCTCAGCCTTCTGAGTAGCTGGGATCACAGTGCGTGCCACCACACCCAGCTTTTTTGAATTTTTATAGAGATGAGTTTTTGCTGTGTTGCCCAGCCTTGCCTCAAACTCCTGAGCTCAAGCTATCCACCTACCTGGGCTTTCCAAAGTGCTGGAATTACAGGCATGAGCCATTGCCCCTGACTGGAACTTTTCATCTTTATTATATTTTTGTTGTTGAGTTTTAATCTGTTTTGATGTAAACTTGGTTTATAGCTCCAATTTCTAGAAATGAAAATAGTTAACTTTGTGAAACTTAGCTTACTGCAGGTAATTTATCGATAAGGAAGAATCTTTTAATTTGTAATATCCTGTTTTTGATGTATGCAGCTTCTTAATCTGAGAATATAAACTAAAAGTTTTTGAAGTTTTTTTCTTCCTTTGTAATATCTTTTTTTCTTAGTAGATTTTTTTTCTTTTCTCATTTTGGTTTCTTGCTTTCTTCCTGGAGTTTTTCCTTGTTTATCTGGGCATCTTTGGTTGTTTCTTTATGTTTAAGAGTAAGGCATTAAAAGGCTGATTACAAATTTTTTGTGCATAAGTGGGGTCTAATGACAAAATTATGTTAGGATGATTAGGTAAGAAAGTGGGCTTTTTTTGCTATGCCCAAATATATGTGTGTTTCTATTCTCCAGGACCCTTCTGAAACTAAATTTTGAAATTACCTGGCTTGTAGGTAGACATGTAACTTCACACATTTCTCGTGGTTGAAGCATTATGTTAATCTCCTAGTTTTTAGCCTCACCCTTTTTCTATCTCTTTATTTTAAGTCCCAGGCATCTCATTTAATTTCTCCAAAGAACCACAAATGTTCACAGAAGAAGATTGGTTGTCAGTGTTATGTGCGTAGGGTTGTGTATGTTGGGGTAAGAGGGGATTGGGATAAGAAGGATGGTAGGAATAATTGCATTCTATGTGATGTCGTTTGTACTTGGCATTTCCTAGTCCTAAGAATCTTTGTGTTTTTTATTTGTTTATATTTTTTAAAGGGAATAATCAGTTTTTCACATCCCTTTCTTTTTCACTCATTCTTTACACTATGGTTCCTATAAACTGCTAAACTAGTTATTTGTTTTTTCATCTTAAACGTATTTATTAAACTTTACATTTACTGATCTGTTTTCTCTGTCTTTTGTCCTCATGGGATGGTACCCTTTTTACTCCATTTCTATTATTTTATTAAGGTTAGGCAGAAAAAGACATAAAGACTCATCCTACATCCCCAGACACGAATACAAAGTTGATAGATTCTCTTGCATTATTGTCATAAATTTTACTTAATGTTTTAATATATTGCTGTATTCAACTAGAAAATTTTGTATTTAGGATTTTTTGAACTGTGTGAGATTGACCTGTAATTTTATTTTTTATTCTATTCTTAACTGGTTTTGTTTTCAGGCTTATGCAGGCTTGGTAAGTAATTTAATACTTGTTGGATCAGTTTCCGTCATTTATATTTCTTCTCTTCCTATCACTGATATTTGTGTATCCATTTTTTTCTCCATTATCATATTTGCCATGGTTTTGGAAGTCTTTTCAACTAATCTTTTTAAAATCAACTTTACTCGTTGGCTATTTAATTTCTTCTTTAACTTTCTTAATTCATTTTTTTCTGCTTTGAGGATTTTTTTTTAACATTCTTGAATTATAAAAAGTGTGTTTCTTTTGTTTTTAACCTTTCCTAATTTTTTTTTTTTTTTTTTTTGTTTTTGAGACGGAGTTTCGCTCTTGTTACCCAGGCTGGAGTGCAATGGCACAATCTCGGCTCACCACCACCTCCGTCTCCTGGGTTCAGGCAATTCTCCTGCCTCAGCCTCCTGAGTAGCTGGGATTACAGGCACGCGCCACCATGCCCAGCTAATTTTTTGTATTTTTAGTAAAGACGGGGTTTTACCATGTTGACCAGGATGGTCTCGATCTCTTGACCTCGTGATCCACCCGCCTCGGCCTCCCAAAGTGCTGGGATTACAGGCTTGAGCCACCGCACCCGGCCAACCTTTCCCAATTTTTAATAAATGCATCATAGGATATAAATTTTTTTCTGGGTATCTTTTGGCTATATGTCATTTGTGTTGATAAGTAGGCTTTTTTTTTTTTTTCAGTTTAAGATATAATTCTCATTTAAATGTTTTCATTCATTTGAGGTTGCCTAGCATTTCTTATTGTTTTAATTTCTGTGGATGTGGAATTTTTTAGGCTTATGAAAAAAATATCAGATTCTACTTACACTGCTTTATGATCAATAAATTTGGCCTTAGGACTTTTATAAAGAATTTTGAGACTTTTTTTTGCTTTTATTGTATATTTGATTTTTGTACCTATTCTTCATGTATTTGAAAAGAACGTACATTCTGTCTTCAGGTATGGAGATATATATATATCCACATACTTATGTACATACGTTAGAACATGCTTACTATAATTATATTACTAAAATGTTCTACTTTTTTTGTTAACCTACTTGATTTAGTTTTTGTTGTTGTTACTGTTTTAAGATGGAGTCTTGCTCTGTCTCCCAGGCTGGAGTGCAGTGGCGCAGTCTCAGCTCACTGCCGCTTCTGCCTCCTGGGTTGAAGCAATTCCCCTGCCTCAGCCTCCCAAGTAGCTGGAACCACAGGTGTGCATCACCACGTCTGGCTAGTTTTTGTATTTTTAGTAGAGACTAGGTTTCACCGTGTTGGCCGTGCTGGTCTCAAATACCTGACCTCAAGTAATTCACCTGCCTTGGCCTCCCAAAGTGCTAGAATTACAAATGTTAGCCACAGCACCATGCCTGATTTAGTTATTTTTAAGATGTCAGTATCTCCTTATTAGAGTATAGATTTGTCTATTTTTCTTGTAATTATATCAGTTTTTTCTTAATAGATTTTAAAGCTTTCTTATTTTGTTTTTCGATCTGTACCATGTTTTTGTTTAATATTGTTTTCAATTCGATATGAAATAAAGGAGTGTAAACAGATGAAGTTTAAGCAGTTCACATTTACTGTTATGTTTTCTATTATTATACTTTTTACTTGATTCTTCCTCCTCTATTTTCTGTCGCTGTTAACCAAGGTTTTCTCATTCTGTTTTTTATTCTATAGGTTGAAAGTTATATTTAGTCCTATTCTAGTGATTATCTTAAAATTTTAAGTGGCGCATTTCTCATAGAAGAGTTTATCAGTATCTTTATTCTCTCACTTAGTTAAGTAAAAAAAAAATACTAGTCAGCTTCTATTTTCTCTTACTTTACTCCCATGTCAGTATCATCAGAAATTTGACTTGTGGTTACTTAAAATGTTTGTGTTTTTTTTAACTGTCATTATTTACATGTTGAGTAGCTCTAATATGAAATCTAAAATGTTCCAAAACCCAAAACTGACTTGATGCTCAAAGGAAATGTGCTTTAGAGCATTTTGGATTTCTGGATTAGGGAAGCTGAACCTGTAAGTATAATGCAAATATTCAAAGGTCTTAACAATTTGAGCCGGGCGCGGTGGCTCAAGCCTGTAATCCCAGCACTTTGGGAGGCTGAGGCGGGTGGATCACGAGGTCAAGAGATCAAGACTATCCTGGCCAACATGGTGAAACCCCGTCTCTACTAAAAATACAAAAAATTAGCTGGGCATGGTGGTGCGTGCCTGTAATCCCAGCTACTCAGGAGGCTGAGGCAGGAGAATTGCCTGAACCCAGGAGGCGGAGGTTGCGGTGAGCCGAGATCGCGCCATTGCACTCCAGCCTGGGTAACAAGAGCGAAACCCCGTCTCAAAAAAAAAAAAAAAAAAAAAAAAATTGAAATCCAAAGCACTTCTGGTCCCAAGCATTTTGGATAAAGGATAATCAGCCTGTGTTTAGATTTAGTAATATGTTTAGTTGGTTTGTTTGTTTGTGTTGCTGTTGCATTATACTCCCTCTGGCTTGCTAGGGAAGGATAAATAAAGAGTTCTCTTTTGACTATATAAAGTTACATCCTTTTACTTTGAGCTTATTTGTGTCTTGGAATCTAAAAGCTGTCTCTTACAAACAGTAGATAGTTGGATCATGATTTTTTGTCTTCATTAACATAAAACCAGATATTGTAGAAAGGGGATCGTTATGAATAATGAAAGACATTCTTGTCACTCAGAAAACTCCAACAGTTTTGAACTCTGTGCCAGGAACCTAGGACAAAGACTAAATATATATATTTATATCACAACAGTTTTTTATATTGGATAGGAAGAAAAAAGAGTTATAAACACCAAAATACATTTGTTATATTTTACATTTACCTATATAATTACCTTCACTGGCTCTTGCTTTGTGTAGTTTCAGAGTACTGTCTAGGATCTCTTCATTTCAACCTTAAAGATGCCTTTTAGTATTTCTTATAGGGGAGGTCTGCTAGTGATAATTTTTTTTTTTTAATCTAAGAATACCTTAAGTTTTTGT